CATCCATATTTTCAGAAAAAGCTCAAAAGTTGCTAATATCGCAACTACAAATTGGAGAGTTCTTGTGCAAAACCACTAAAAAAGGAGCAGAAACAGCAGAAGCGCAGCGCAGCAAACTCGCACACCCCTTCCTGCTGTGATCCACCACTTTACACAGTACCAGTAACCTGTTGCATGTATCCTACATCATTCCAATGCACGGAAAAGGGAATGCACATTATCGTAACTACCGTTGATCTACCGTTTTTCTTAAATGAGCCTAAAGGCATGCAAGAAATGAGCGAGTGTGCATTTGTCCGACATGTAATCCGTGACTTGACATTATGACCCCATACCATGGGACAAAGGTTGCGGAAAAGTTGCGAAAAAGTTCACGTAAATGAAGAAAGTTGCGAAAGTTGCGATTTCTTCCTAAACGGCAGCGAAAAGTTGCAAAATAGTGGCGAGCATCTTTAGGAAAGGGCTGTCCTAGACCCTGTTGTTGTTGATTTCCGGGGATCGCTCCCTGATGTTGATGGTCTCTCGCTCTCGGATCCTCCTCCTGGGGTGGTCACGCTCAGAACCAAGAACTTGGATACCCGAGAAGGCTGTTGTTCCAATGGTAATGGCTCTGATGAATGCTTGGCTGCCAAATGGTCACCCAGAGATGGGTACCGCTCACTGCGTTGCGTGAGTCATCGTTGTGCTCTTTGGTCCTGGTGGCGAGGCTGCGGTAAGTCGTCCCGACATAATTATGTATCACCACATTTGCACTCAGGGTGGTATATGACGTTTCGCTCTGTGCATGCTTTTGAACCAGACATGTTGTTGTTGTTGTTGTTGTTGTTGTTGTTGTTGTTGTTGATTTTTGTTTTACTTCGCAAGGCCAAACGGGCAATGGTGCCCAATTCTATGGAAGCGAATTTCAAAGGGAAGAGAGCTAGGGGGAGAGAGTGTGAGAGAGAGAGAGAGAGAGAGAGAGAGAGAGAGAGAGAGAGAGAGAAAGAGAGAGAGAGAGAGAGAGAGAGAGAGAGAGAGAGAGAGAGAGAGAGAGAGAGAGAGAGAGAGAGAGAGAGAGAGAGAGAGAGAGAGAGAGAGAGAGGAGAGGGAGAGGGAGAGGGAGAGGGAGAGGGAGAGGGAGAGGGAGAGGGAGAGGGAGAGGGAGAGGGAGAGGGAGAGGGAGAGGGAGAGGGAGAGGGAGAGGGAGAGGGAGAGGGAGAGGGAGAGGGAGAGGGAGAGGGAGAGGGAGAGGGAGAGGGAGAGGGAGAGGGAGAGGGAGAGGGAGAGGGAGAGGGAGAGGGAGAGGGAGAGGGAGAGGGAGAGGGAGAGGGAGAGGGAGAGGGAGAGGGAGAGGGAGAGGAGAGGGAGAGGAAGAGAGAGAAATCGAGATAGAAAGAGATACATGCAGGCGACACAAGCAGCTTTGGGCCGTCCCCATTCACGGGGCTTGGACGGGTCTACATACCCGCAGCATGGTGGCTTGCTGAAAGCAGATGTACAAACCATCGAACTTAGACGACTGTTTCTGTAGATCAGCTGGGCATTTACCTTGTACTTACGGAGTAATTTATGATTTTTTTGTGGATATGCTCGGTGTGAAACGGTAGGTTGAGGGTGACATGGTATTTATTCTGCACTCTTCCACGTCGGGGGCGCATCGCTCGTTCATGTGCCGAAACTATAATTGACTCTGGAAAGTTGTTAAATCGTAGGATGTTGGTTACTTTTTCCTCCTTTCTTTTGAGGGTATCTGCATCTGAAGATGGACGGACGGCATGTAGGAACTCAGAGGAAGCGGTACGCTTTCCAAAGGCCAAAGAGAGTTGGAAAGCTTGTGTCTTTGTGGGTAACTTGAACATTTGGGCTCATCTAAAATCGCACTGATTTTGGGCTTTCCCTGCAACTTTTTGCTTCAGCAAAAATGTTGTGCTTGAGCGCATTCCTGTCACTTTGCAGTGCGGGCTTTTCGTTGGTGCAGTTTGTATCCCACCCTCCCACCCCTGACTTCTGGGGGTGTGTTTATCGATATAATCTTATTGGCTTTCTTATTGGCCATGTGGCTGTGGCAGTTACGACTGCTTTTCGTTTTTAGTTAAAACACGTAGGGGTGGTGTGTGCGTCGCGGGCCTTTGTATGGTTACGTACAGCTTCAGATTGCATGGCTAGTGCCAGGGGAGTTGAATCTGCATGGGAAGAATACCACTGTATTGTGATTGAACTGAAGCTGGATGATGACCGTGTGGTGAGTGTGGATTTTTTTAAAAGATACCGTCCTGGGGCAGAGATGTAGGTCCTTTAGCTTGGACGGGTGTGGTTACATGCATTGTACCATCTTGTCGTTTTCTGAGTGCGTTGTTGTGCGACTAGCAGCAGTATCTGGTGCTTATTTTTCTTATCTCTACGCATACAATTTTTTTAAATAGGAAGAGGATATAATATCAATAAATAAAGCCATTGCCGAGCCACCGTGCTCGCAGAGACTTCTGTGTGTGTGTGTGTGTGTGTGTTATTGTCGTGAAAGTGGACCACAAAGACAATTGCTTTCTTTTGCTGGCTGGGAACAGATGAGTTGTAGTCTGATACCAGTCCGCTGTGACATGGCTTGCGGCATAGTTCATAGGATCCTAGTGAAGCAGCAGAGGCGTAGGTCCTACACGGGAAGTTTAAAACATAACAACCACGCCGCACTGACAAGCAAGGACTGAAGGAGAGTTGCAAGTTCTTTAACCTGACCGGTTTCTGTGACATGAGTCACTTCATCAGAGGAATGAAGATAAATGACAATATGGAACTCAATATAACCAGAGAACTGGACAGACAGGCGTTGAGCACTGTCGAGTAATTAGCGCGAAAAAAGCAATTTAGCGATTTAGCGCGAAAAAAGCGTGAACAAAACACGGGGTTGCTTGCTAGGCGAAAAAACAAACACGAGGTTGGGTGCAAGGCATGGAGGTAAAAATACCTATACCCATCGTGAATGTGGTTTCCCAAAACATACGTTAGCGCCAAAATAATTTTGCAGGGTGCGAGGCCAGGGTGATAGTAACAAAAACTGTGGGGCAAGAGGTAGAAGCTTGCACAGAGCTAGCTGGAGGTATGAGTTGACAGCTAGCTGGGGTATCACTGAACGCATCGTGGAGAAACCTAGGAGGGTAACCACGCTTGCGAAGCCTGGTCCAGAAAGCATCACGTATAGCGAGCAGGGAGGTGATCTCACTGTTTGTGTGGTTATAGCGCAGCAATTCAGCCTTAATAAAAGCTCTGAAACATGAGCGGGGGTGGTCGGACGTAAATGGAATGTACAAATAAGCGTTCCTGGGCTTTTGGAAAGTACTGAATGCGAATGTGGATTGATCATTAATAGAGATGATCAAATCAAGAAACTCAATACTTTTACTGGGGTCTGACCACGTAAGTCCGATGGTGTCTAGTTTTGCGTACATGTGCCGTTTGACGGCAGGCAGTTTGCTCAGTCTTTTGATGATTAAGAGAAGATCATCAACGTATCCACCGAAGAACGTTATGATGTTACGGAAGACCGAGAGTGATGTACGCTCATGGACGAAGAGGAAAATGTTTGCAACATAAACCGCCATGGGTGTACCCATGGTCATGCCATTCTCTTGGTGATACACCAAACCATCATGCTCGAAAACATTATTTCTTAGCACAAAAGAAGAAAGATCCATGAGCAAGTCTTTCATGGGGTGATTATTTTCGTCGAGGAACACGTACAGGGCATTGGTCGTGTCTTTCCACGACATACATGTGTAAAGACTTTCGACGTCTGCAGTCAAAAGGGAGCAGTCACTCAGGTCACTCAAGTCATCGTTCGACGGAGTGATCAAACTCTTCACAACATTGTTAGTAGAAGTAAACACAGTGCTTGCTGATTTCATGAGACTCTTTATATGGTAGTCGACATAGCGAGAGGCTGGGGTTGTGCAGTAGCCCTGACACGACACAATGGGCCTTTGGGAAAGGGCTAGTGGTCACTCTCTACTCTAGCAGTGGAATATCCATATTAGGCTGCTGAGTAGGGATGCATGCAAAGGGTTGTACGACCCACAGGGTAAGATTCTCTCATTATTATTATTGCGACTATGAACATTCTCCTTCTAGTCGGTCGCAAGAAATCGCATATCTGCACAACGAAACATACTACAAAAAAAGTAATATGAATGGTATACAGGAGATTAGGCATCTGAGGTGATGGGATTCATTCTGATGAGGATTGACTGATCCTTCTTTTATAAGCAGTAGAAAGCATGAATGGAGAAGCGACAAGCAAGCCTTGATTGCCCTTGTTGTTCTGTAAGCATTAGACAAAATTTGACACAATCAAATATCCAGAAGTACTCGCATCTGCCATCCAGAGTACACTGTGCACTCACAGTCTGTGCAGGGAGCAGTGCTTTCTTCCAGGTTTGCCAGGTGGATGCATGGTTTGATGTGCTCGGATGGCAATCGTGCAAAATTGGTGTCCTCCGTCGGGATTTGCGAACCCTTTCGCTACATGCAGAGCGAGCCTACTTGTTGGGTGTTATCATGACCGACTTGGAATACTCTGTTCCTGTTTTTCTTTCTTGTTTATCTGCCCGTGACAAAGGTCGGCTACATGTATTTTCATTTTTTAGACGTGCTGTATGCGTAGCATGTGGTGCACCATTTGATGCTGAGATTGCCCCGTTGCTAGGATTACACAATATCACATCTCATTTCCTCTTTGTCTTCATCATGCTTATTTATCAATGCTATATCGAAAGGCCTACCAGCTGTTAATCAGTCCTGTTCTCAGCAGTGTCCCCAATTAGAGTTACCCGTGGCTCTGATGCATTAAATATCCCCATTCAGCCGTAAAGTTACCCTCTGCATGGGCGTAATTCTTTCACAAACAGAGCAGCGCTATTGTGGAATGCAACACCGCACAATGTCAGGGATTGCAGCAAGAGGTCAGAATTCTGCTCTTTATATGCATGATCTATTATTTACCACCCATGATGTAGGACGATACCATGACCTTCTTTTAACCAAACAGCGTTTTTGTCATGTGAGGGTATACAGCTTATAAAATTAATTATAGAAAGGAAAAAGGACATATGGAAACGAGTTAAGAGTAACTCTCACCACTATAACTAGATACTATAATATACAGTCAGAAAGGGCAACAACTAGGCACAAAACTGACAGAGTACTGAGACATTCGACGTCCTGACACCTAGCTTCAACACATCTCCGTAGCGCTAACCGACAGCCTTCCAACTCCGAAGGTTCAAGGTTATGGAGAGACCAAAGAGGGGAAGGTAAGCGCAACGAAAAAGTGTGCTTATATTCCTGCAATTGCAGAATAGGCAGCACAGAAAATATCAAAACAGTCCTAAAAACACACGAACTGTCAACCGTTTACTTCAGCTAATAAAACCCGAAATTTGCTAAGTACCGTACTGTCATCATGATATTGATACATATGCATGTACAGATAGTTGGTATACAGAGTTGCAGGACATAATACGAGTAAACATATTGTACAATTCTACAAATGAACTACAGCAGAGAACTACACAGCAAGAGGAAAGCATTGGGCACAGAACACTGACAATTTGCAAAACAAATTCAGATAGAAAACAGTACTTGCATGACATAATAGCAGAACTAACAAGGTAGACTCAAACATTCCAACATTCTGCAGCTGTTGTGGTGCCGGTATTGTGGTGGCAGTTCCGATACTGAGGCCGTACATGCTGTGGAGCACGGCTAGCCGCCGCCAACTAGTTAGTGCAACCTCATACTACTAGTATACAAAATTTAGTTGATAAAGTCTCGAAGATCCGTGTGGTAGCCAGATTAAGCACGCTGACGGATTGATTCCGATACTGTAGAAATCAGGCAGAAAATAGACAATTTGCTTAGATAAAATTGGTAATTGGAACTCTGGTACAAGCCAATTTGCATATCCTGGTCGCTATGAGAACGATGAATGAGTCAGTTTCAGTGCAAACCAAAGCATGTATCCTATCAAAGCATCCTTTGCAGCAATAACCTTTAAAAACTTGTTCTTCATAAATTAATAGAATTGCTGTGAACCCACTGTGCCATGTGCAGACTTTCAAAATTCACATACTGGATATGAGATTTCCACTGTGTGCGTGTATCATCATGAAACAGCTGATGCACATACATGTAGCTCATTCATTGCCACCGACAGGATGATGACTCACTGTATTCACGATGTTGATTTCTCATACTTCCGTGGCTGCTCGTAATCAGACGTTTGCACGTATGCTGCCAGTATTGCTTGGTAATCACCTGTGGGCTCCGCTGGAAGGCCAGCTGCCTGTTTTGTGTTGCTGGGCTTGGGAACTGTAGTCGATTCATACAGGTGTTCCTGGGGTTCTGTTCCTAGAGCTTGATAGACAGCGCTCCCAGGGTTTGCTGGTGAGGCATGGCCTTGAGCACTGGATCTGCTGTGGCAAATACAGATCACACCGATATGATGTCTCCGTTATTCTGTTGATGAGTGTACAACTGTAATGCATTAGACTACAAACATATTTTTTGTAATAATAGTTACTACGGGTATTCGGACATGTACGCCATGAACAGGAATAATTATGATGCAGCCTCTAAGTAATGGGGAGGACAGATTGAATCCATGAACTAGACACAAAGGCCGAAATCCAGGAAGGGAGACCATGGCACATTCGAATACCATACTCTACTCCTGGTGCACAATGATACCTATATTGTCAAACGTATCTTGCCAGAGTGCTCAAACTGATAAGTCAGTGAGCTCTGCATAACGCAAACAGCAAAGGCACTACCCCACACGAGAGTGCTCAACTGCTACAACAGCAGGAGCGAAATACTCAATCTGCGGACAGAACTGCTTCGTCCTTTGTGGACTCAAAAGCGCATCACAGAGAAAATGAGGCTGAACCTGATAGCCGGTGGCGTGTGTGCGTGTGTGTGTTTTTGTGTGTGTATGTCTGATTGGGTGCACGAGTGCACGGGTGCCCGAGTTGAGTGTGCGGGTGCACTTGGAGGTGCTTGCATGTTTACGGGTACTGGGGCTAATCTATGTTTTATTTCTCAACACTGAGAGATGGGTAATATACAATGTAGGCAGAAAACTGATGAATCATACAGTCTTCTGCTGCCATGGGCAATGCAATTTGGCGCATGGACACAATCCTGAACTGCATGCACCACACTCCAAGCATAGGATGTACTAGTACCTTTCGGATGGCTTGTTTGTTGCAGACTGGGACAGAGACACTGCCCTGAGTTTTTGAGTATCTTGCGCGTACTTGGTTCTCTGGGCTTTTCCGGACACTGATTACAGAGCAAAGCACAATCAATATCCAACCTTGTGAGCAAAGCCAACGTAGATAGCGAGCATCTTATATGCACAATACTGGTATTATCTGATCTGCTTGCTTTTAAAATACAATTTCAGGCATGCAAGGGGTTCAACAATCGAGTAACGTTATTCGTTTAAAACGCTGAGTATATATAATTTCTCGAAGGGCACAGTACTACACTGTCATGAAACATGAGAAGGACAAGAACAGCCTGCCGTACCATGTGACGAAGATGAAATATATGTCTGAGTACTTTACCGATAATGGCAACTGGGCAACTCGCCCTGCACTGTGACTGACCTTGCTGGTGCTGTGCAGCTCTTGCGACGCGGTCGGAAGCACCTCCAGACATACGTGGCAATGAACTCCCTGCTTGGCCATCCGATGGTTTTCTCAACCGTGGAGGGAATAGCGGTTGATATTGTTCCTGTTTTTTCATTACATTCAAATCCTCGTAAACAGCTAGTGCCGCAGATACAGTACTTGATGTGCTGTCAGTTGTAGTTGACCCGCGTACATCAGATGTGGGTGATTGATATTGTCCCTGGTTTTTCGTTACATTCAAATCCTCGTAAACAGCTAGTGCCGCAGATACAGTGCTTGATGTGCCGTCTGTTGGAATTGATCCGTGTACATTAGATGTGAGTGATTGGTATTGTCCCTGTTTTTTCGTTACATTCAAATCCTCGTAAACAGCAGGTGTTGTAGATACAGTAGTTGATGTGCTGTCAGTTGTAGTTGACCCGCGTACATCAGATGTGGGTGATTGATATTGTCCCTGGTTTTTCGTTACATTCAAATCCTCGTAAACAGCTAGTGCCGCAGATACAGTGCTTGATGCGCCGTCTGTTGGAATTGATCCGTGTACATTAGATGTGAGTGATTGGTATTGCTCCTGTTTTTTCGTTACATTCAAATCCTCGTAAACAGCAGGTGTTGTAGATAAAGTGCTCGATGTGCTGTCTGTTGGAATTGATCCGCGTACAATAGATGTGAGTGATTGGTATTGCTCCTGTTTTTCCGTTACATTCAAATCCTCGTAAACAGCTAGTGCCGTAGATAAAGTGCTCGATGTGCTGTCTGTTGGAATTGATCCGCGTACAATAGATGTGAGTGATTGGTATTGTCCCTGTTTTTTCGTTACATTCAAATCCTCGTAAACAGCAGGTGTTGTAGATACAGTGCTTGGTGTACTGTCAGTTGTAGTTGACCCGCGTACATCAGATGTGGGTGATTGATATTGTCCCTGCTTTTTCGTTACATTCAAATCCTCGTAAACAGCTAGTGCCGTAGATACATTGCTTGATGTGCCGTCTGTTGGAATTGATCCGCGTACATTAGATGTGAGTGATTGGTATTGCTCCTGTTTTTTCGTTACATTCAAATCCTCGTAAACAGCTAGTGTCGTAGATACAGTGCTTGGTGTACTGTCTGTTGGAATTGACCCGCGCACATCAGATGTACGTGATTGATATTGTCCCTGTTTTTTCGTTACTTTCAAATCCTCGTAAACAGCAGGTGTTGTAGATACAGTGCTTGATATCCTGTCTCTTGTAATTGACTCACGTACATCAGATGTGAGTGATTGGTATCGTCCCTGTTTTTTCATTCCATTCAAATCCTCGTAAACAGCCAGTGTTGTAGATACAGTGCTTGATGTGCTGTCTTTTGTAATTGACCCGCGTACATCAGATGTGAGTGATTGGTACTGCTCCTTCTGGCTTCCATCTGCCACAGTTTGGTACATGCTGGCAGTGGTATCTGGCATTGGTGTAGAGCTTTTTGTCCTGTTGTCCATGCTTTTGTGTTGAACGTCAAGGGTGAGTGTTTCGTATTGCTCTATCCTACCTGCAGGTGCTGGCTCTTCATACGTGGATGTAGGCTTGGATGACGTCATGCTCTGGGTAGGTGCTCTCTCAGCCTGGGCAGGAGTGACACTTTGGTATTGCTCTGTCGCACCAGCAGGACCCAGTGGTTGGTACATATTGGTAGACGGTGGATCAGCAACTTGAGATGTATCCTGTTCGTCTTTTTTGCCCAATGAAGCCATATCTTTGCACATAGATGCATCCATCAACGCTGGAGACACTGCAGCAGCAATGGCATCCTGTTCTTCCTTTCCCGATGGAGCCATCTCTTCGTACGCAGATTCACCCATAACCGTTGGAGGATTGGACGTTGTTTCGGTTGTTGCAATCTCCTTCACTTCCGCCATAGGTAGGTAGCATGGGTTATTCTTTTCAACAGATGCCAATCCTATATCATGATACAATATTGTTGCTGCCATTTTGTCACCTGCACTGCCACTGGAACACACAACAAAATACATATCATGATAGTGTAAATCACTCGACATTAACATTACTAGTATGAACACATGAGATTTTCCTGATTTAGCTTATCCAAGAATAGTTACAAGCCTGTCCTTACACAGCATTAATCACAGAAGGCTTATAGCTAATTTAAAAAAAGATCGCCTTAACTTCAACCCCTACTGTCATGCTCGCTCCACATATACTGGCATACGGAGGGACAGAGGCAGTAATGACAACAGCACACAAATTGAAGGGCGGTTGGCTGCAGCCAAATGTTGGATGACGACGCCAGCGAGGACAGAGGGCGAGCCGACAACGATCTAATCGGCATGGATGTCAAAGACACCGATGAAGAAGCGCTATGTGTTTGAGGCATCTTGACAAGGGGATACTCGTAAGCTCAAGGAAGATCCTACGGAGATCAAAAACTGGTCCAAACTAGCACTGGTAAGACTCAAAACTGACAGAGGAAGCCAGGAAAAGAGACAACGATACTGTGTGGACACAGTGTGGACACGGGACTTGCTGCATAAGTTAAACGCCTTCGCTGTTGCAGGTCGCTGATCTCAACACACCACAGCACACAATCACCAAAGCGACACGTCCGTTGATACTCAGTTCCTTCATACAGCTGTTTTGAGTATAAAACTCTCGTTAGTGAAGGCAGATAATCGATACTGCAGAATTGCTAAGAAAGTGAAAATCACCGATTTTGTACCGAAAGCGGAAGCATAATGCGCGCGCATGAGGTGCGAAGATTAGGGCTAAGCAAAAGACCTGGCTAATAGCACTATCATGTCACTGTAACGAGAGAGCTTTGAAGCTCAGGGCCCTACATTATGCTTTCTTGCCTAGCTCATCATGCTTGTTATTAGAACTGATGGAAATGTTTTTTTCCATTGATTGGCTACATCATTGTATTGCAAAAATGTTTCAATCAGTTTGAATATGAGTTAGGCAAAAGTAATTGCAGAATTAAATTATTGGGTTATACTTCAGTATGAACTTTCTCTTTGCATTCGAGAGTAATACGACACCGTCTACCACCATGATGACCTAGGCAAAAAGCATAGAGATATTATACATTTTTCATTTTTCCTATTTTTATTCCAAGACATAACCTAGGATTCGACTTGAACCCGCACTATCGCCCTGCATGCATTCCCCCGATACACTTCGCACACATACTCATACTTCCAAGTAACAGTTGCTTCACGTTATGATCTTGCATCTGAAAGCCCTATGTGAATATTGTGACCAGCTGTCTTTGATGGTACGGTACGGGACAGGTACGCCTTTTGCATAGCTATGGTAATAAATATAATATCCCCTGTTTATTATATCGTTGTGAATGACCAACGGTCCTCAGCGCTTGTTCAGCACCTCTGGCTGCGGCCAACTACCCTTCACTTTGTGTGTTGTCGCTATTGCTGTCTATGTCTCTGTGTATGCCAGTATATGTGGAGCGAGAATACCATTTCTTGCTGTCTCTATTCTTGGGTCCGATTGGCAGCGGGGCAGGAATTAATAAAATAGAAAGTTTCTTTGGCCGAAAGGCGTGTTTTTCCTCTAGCCCGGTTGAGCGGTCGCGGCTAGGAATGTAGGGAGTCATTGTTTTCAGGCGCTCCCCTGCTGCCCAGTCACCCATGCGTACCACTGGCCATGCCGTTTCACTTGATTATACGACCTTTTCTCCCGCTTGCTGGCGGTTCTTTGATGGATTTAGACGTTTTCGGCTATTTGTGTATTATGTGGCTGCAAGTGTGGTTTTTTGCTTCTACTCATTTCTGGAAAACCACTACGGTGGTGAGTGTGATTGCTCTGGTAGACCACTACCCCATGTACTGAACAGTTTCTTTGTGAGTGAAAAAGCTGTGAATGTCTTTCGGTGTGGGAAGCTCCGTTAATGTGATTTCGGTGAATTATATTTTTGGTGAGGCATGCTTTTCGGTGAAATGTCATACTGTGAATCGTCGCTCGAGGTAAAACTGTCGTTCGGTGAACTCGATTTCGGCAATCCGTCGTAAACCCATGGTGTAGTTGTCATCCCAGCAGAGACCGTTCAATATTTTCTTCAGACTTCGAAACTCACACTTCCTGTGAGACTCTACACAGGCTGGTGGGATTCAGTCCTCACTGTACCCACACACTTCACGTGGACAGAAATGTTTCGTCCATTGTGGACTCATCAGCGCAGCACAGAGAAAATGAGGCCGACCCTGATAGCAAAGAAAAATAATTATGTTTTTCAAAAGCCAGATTTAAACCAGGCCCGATTGTACCCTTCCAAAGTCCTCAAACTGACTGCAGAGCTCACTGACGTGTGTCACACGTCAGTGAGCTCTGCCTAACGCAAACAGCAAAGGCACTACCCGCATGAGAGTGCTCAACTACTACAAGAGCAGGAGCGAAATACTCAATCTTCAGACAGAACTATTTCGTCCTTCGTTGACTCATCAGCGCAGCACAGAGAAAATGAGGCCAAACGTGATAGCAATGAAAAATATATTAAATTTTTCCAAAGCCAGATTTAAACCAGGCCCGAACGAACCGTGCCAGATTGCTCAAACTGACAAGTCAGTGAGCTCTGCATAACGCAAACAGCAAAGGCACTACCCCACGCAAGAGTGCTCAACTGCTACAAGAGCAGGAGCGAAATACTCAATCTGCAGACAGAACTGTTTCGTCCTTTGTGGACTCAGCGGCGCAGCACAAAGAAAATGAGGCCGAACCTGTACTGCAGCAGAGCCAATGAAGTCAGAGTAGGTACGGGCATAGTCTCACTGAGCACATACATACATACATACTCAATCTGCGGCAAGCATGCTGTTTCATACATGCATACATACATACACTGCTCACTGCCAAAACTGGTCACGTGGGTCTCCCCGGGAGAGGGGAGAGAGACTCAAAAGGAATCTTGGAAAGATGACTCAATTGGCTATTGAACCGCCCAATGGCCGACACCCCCTGAAATCCCCTAAACTCTGGGTGGATTTGAAAATGATCCCACTTATGGGCTCACCACACCTCAGTAAAGTGGGTGAGAACAAGGTGCAGAAAAAGGATTGACGACATCAGGGTATCCGTCCAGGGATCCAACTGCAGTTACCCCTGCCCCCAGTGAAGGTAATACTTGCTACTAGTGTGGGTGGCTGAATCAGAGTGGATCTGATATAAGCTTCACTAGCTCCATTGATTACACAAGAGTTAATCTAGCCAGAAGCAGTCCGTGGTTAACAGGTATGTATACTTCAAATAGAACGTATATGAACCCTGGAACCAACAAAGGTGGCAGGTACAACATTACACCTTCAAGCAGCTGAGCCCGTTGGAAATACATACATACATACATACTGTTGTGAATTCCAGCAGAAATCCAAGAGAGCTCGATACCGGGAAGGTAGAGCCGTGACACACTAGTCAGAACAACGGATGGCTTGATCAGTCACAACTTAAAGTTTCATGCCATCTCAGGCACTCATCAGGTGATAACACCTGATGAGTGCCTGAGATGGCATGAAACTTTAAGTTGCGACTGATCAAGCCATCTGTTGTTCTGACTAGTGTGTACATACATACATACATACATACATACATACATACATGCCTTTATGGCCGAAACAGCTTGCTGTCTACAGCATTGGGTATCACGCTCCTCGGCTTTCGCCTTGTTGAGAACTCCCAGTAGGCTGCTCTAGTGCTGCTGCATCGCGCAATGCCCGCTACCTTTTGTAGTTTGAGCACTCTGGCGCTAGAGCGACGAGCTATCTTAATGTCTGTGGTGCCTCCTTTGCACCACGGCTGGTAGCTCGGCCTATTTAGCTCGTAGCTGTACTGATGAGGCCTTTATGGCCGAAACAGCTTGCTGTCTACAGCATTGGGTATCACGCTCCTCGGCTTTCGCCTTGTTGAGCACTCTCAGTAGGCTGCTCTAGTTCTGCTGCATCGCGCAATGCCCGCTACCTTTTGTAGTTTGAGCACTCTGGCGCTAGAGCGACGAGCTATCTTAATGTCTGTGGTGCCTCCTTTGCACCATGGCTGGTAGCTCGGCCTATTTAGCTCGTAGCTGTACTGATGAGGCCTTTATTGCCGAAACAGCTTGCTTTCTACAGCATTCATACATACATACATACATACATACATCTTGATCTTGATCTTGATCCTGCTGCCAAGTCTGGCTACGCAGTCCCCGAAGGGACAGGTCAAATGGTACTAGTCACCCTGCTGCATCGGTGGCGTGTCCGGCCTCTAGTCGAGCGGAAGGTCCGGTGATAGGCGGAGCACTCCAGGGGTGGTGCCGCTGTAGTTCTGATGTCAGTCAGTTCGCACTTGTGTCGAGTCCTTCCACTGATGGACGTGAAGGTTCACTGGCATACAAGGAATGTCAAATCTGGCCCGTCTCGAACTGCTGGCGGTTTCCGTGGTTGTTGCTGCTGCCGTCGAGGCTGGCTGAGGGAATAAGCTGGATCATTGCCGCACCGATGGTTCGCCAAGCCCCCGCGAGATAGGAACCAGCGGCCACACGTATTACACTGAACAGACCCAGACTGCTCTCTCACCGGCTTTGCTCGCTCCACTGTGCATTTGTCACGCGCCATGTAGCGTGGCTGAGAGAAACTTCGGCCGCAGGTGTCACACAGGACCGGCTTGATCTTGTGCACAGTCCCGGTGCGCGCAAGCAACAGCTTCACGGGATGGTGACCTCCAGGTACTCCGGCAACTGGTTGCATCGCACAAGTCTCTTTCCTTGACATTAGCCACCTTGAGGTCAGCTCGGATTGCATCATTCCACCGCTTTTTGGGCTTGTGTTGAGGTCGCGTCTGGTTCAGTGAACCAAACAGCAATAGCCAGGGCAAGCGTTACATACATACATACCTACCTACGTACATCTTGATCTTGATCTTGATCCTGCTGACAAGTCTGGCTACGCAGTCCCCGAAGGGACAGGTCAAAAGAATACTAGTCACCCTGCTGCATCGGTGGCGTG